AAAAAAAAAAAAAAAATACTTGAGGCTGTAAAGGTGCTTCCGCTAAATATTTAGTTAATACTAAATACTTACGCAATGTACTTATTTCAGTTTTTTTATTTTTAATAAATGTACGAAGTTGTGGCAATTCTGTTTTTGCTTTGTCAATATGGTGTATGGAATGTAGATTGATGTGGGAAAAAAAGTACTTTAAAGCAGTTTAACATAAGGCAGCAACATAACAAAAAATGAAAACTGACTTCTGTTTTTGCAAATAAACTCTTCATATGATTTACTAATGCACCAAGAAAAATAAACGTAATTTAACAAATATTTTCTTTTTGTTTTAAGCATAAACATAACAAATAATAATTACAACAATAATAAAACAGTGCATTGACATAAAAAAGGAAATTTACTTTTGGTACTTAAGTACTTTTAAAAGCAAGTACTTCTTTACAACTTTTACTTGTAATGGAGTAATATTTGACCAGCAGTATCTGTACTTTCACTTAAGTAATGGAGTTGTGTACTTTGTCCGCCTCTGGTTAAATTTCATATTTGAAATCACAAATTAATTCTGACAAGAACTGTCTCATAAATGTTTTTCATGCTCAAATAACCTTAAAGCTTATTTTTTAGCTTAGACCAGCCAATGCGCATGTGTTGCCATAATTGAGGGCGAACTACTACTAAATGCATTTATTTCAGGTCCTGACCCTGCAGATGGCCTGTAGTTTGACAAGGGTCAATTAAGAGGCTAATCCAGCCAAACTTCTGATATACGGTTTTCTGAGTGCACACATCCGAAGCACACGGACAGGAAGCGGCTGTCACAGCATGTAAGTACTAATCTAAGTTCTTATTCACACACAAGTGTACGTTAAAAAACACACACGAGTTACAAAAACTTAGCATGTTTTGCTCAAACTTTTGCCATGGCATTAGAGCTGGTACATCGTTGTCGCTTGTGAAAACACAATAACTGCGCCATGGGTGTAAACTTACAGATTAAGGGGCTGTAATATTATAATGAGATCCCTTTGCCACGTCACCAAGGCAGCGAAATCGCTAGTTTTCTCAGAAGCTTGCAGAAAAAGGCTTCCCAAAACAAAGTTACTGGGTTAATCTTTTTCACGTTTCCTTGGTTGGTAGATGCAGCAGGGACCTGATTATAGCACTTAAAACCTGGAAAAGTCCGATTTTCATGTCACCTTTAAGGGGGTTGCACAGTAGCCTACACTGTTCAAAATCTCGCCGGGCCACAGAGCGCCACTCACATAAGTTTTCCATTAAAATCACATTATATATGGAAGATTGTTTTGTGCATTTTTCAGCAAACGTTTGTCTTTCTGTGGCTCTAATGAAGTATTCTCGTCCAGTGTCCTGACATTTTATCCTACCTGTGAGATTGTCCTACCAGGGTTTACTGCGCATGCGCACATCAACATTGCGTCCTTTTTCTCATGCTGAATAACAATATTTAATGCATCTTACTGCAAGGGTAGGTTTAGGGTTGGGGTAGGTGAAGACTTTAATAAAACACAATCTTAATAGGTAGAATTTTTTTTTTTATTGTTGGTTTCCTGTAGCTGTAGCCTTCTAGCCACAACCGCGAATATAACACATAATTACTGTATTTGCATTACTGTAAGGGTAGGTTTAGGGTTGTCGTATTATAAGTCAGTAAACCATCAGAATGATTTTGAAACTGTTATTTTAAGGTTAAAAAAAGTCTAATTAATAACTGCCATATTGGCCTGCACAAGATAAAAAATTGCACTTTAACAAATATTACATTCCTCTAAATGTCACTGTAAACATCTTTTTAGCATCAGTCATATCTATATGAAATGGAAACATAAAGAATGAAAAGCTCAAAAATAAACCTACAAATATTACATTACATAGGCCTAAACACAGGTCCATTCTATGTTCAGCCAGTCCTGGCACACATTTGCTTTAAAATGTTAAGCAGCTCAGTGACCTGATTAAAGTCTTCTGGACATTTATTGTTCACAACATGGTACCGGTGGCCACACTTCCTCAGGATCTCCTGCAAAGGTTCACCGTTCTCTTGAATGTGCTTTTCAATAGTGCTGCCTCTTAACTCATCGCCCCACGTGAAGAGCACCAGAGTGTGTGACCACACCATGTCCCCAAGAATACCCAGATATTTCTCCATAGCGCGTCCGTCCCGCTTGCTGAAAGAGTCCACTGGGATAACGAGGAGAAATATGAGATATTGGCCAGGAGGGGCCAACATCACACTGCGCAGGATCTCCTGTTTCACCAGTCTGGCATCAGCCAAACCAAAGAGACTCCATCCTGGAGTGTCCACTACAGCAAGCCTCACGCCGTCCACCCAGCCAAATCTCCTCACACACCGTGTCGTCTTCTTCCCGGGCTCAAACTCCCTGCGTCCAAGGATGAGGTCTCCCAATGAGCTCTTACCAGCGTGTCTTCGACCCAGCAGCACGAGTCCCATCAGAGAACCACCCTCTGGATTGACTAACCAAGACCCAGACAAGACAGTCAAATCAAAGGTATAAGGTTCAGATGCTCAAAATAAGCAGACCAAACAGGTTCATATTAATGAAATATAGACAAACTATTTTACCCGCAGAATTTTTTCTCTGGTGCTGTTTTGCGGTGTTAGTAATATGTTGTTGTAACTTGCGTTACTGAGATTGTAACGAGTAATAATATTACCCAAATTTTATTAGTAATGCGTTATATTACTGCGTTACAGCAAAACGTAATATACTACTGTAATATTATTACTTTTGTAATGCGTTACTCCCAACACTGGTCATAAGGCTTTATTTTTAACCCCACCTACCTTGTCAAAAGTCATAGAACACACTGATTGAGTTCAAATATGCAGTATCTGAAGTGTCCATTAACTTACCATATGATGTCTCAGTGCTCACTGCCATTCTTCAAATGTTTCAGCCCATTCCGCAATCCTCCTTCCCAGTAAGCCACTCTTTACTTTGTCACATGTATCCGCTTAACTGCTTGTTTAACTGTTTAACACACAATAAACTTTTCTATGTTTCAAAGTTCACTTCTTAGTTCTGTGGAAGTCATTTACATTGTGACGCATATGTTTCGACAGGGAAGGGTCAATCAGGTCAGTTTAGTTATAAAACTAAAGGCCTAATACGGATTCAGAAGGCTGTGTGGTAGTTTCCACAGATGGGGTACAAACTTGGGTCTTATCACTTTTTTTGTGAAGCAATAAAGGCACAAATCCCGTGTTCTAAAGGTATAGTTATTAGATAAGTTATGTAAGCTTTTATCTAATATAAAAGTAATTTATTTTTCCCACACATACCTCAAAAATATTGATTTTGGTCTGCCCTGCCTCAGAGGTCTTGGACTTATTGACTGTGTTCAACAACTGCAGCAGTGTCATCATTTTTACTTAATCTGTTCAAGTCATTGTGTTAGAAATATGAAGATTTCTATTACTAGAAACTGTATTTAGCTGTCTCTCACATTTTGTACATAAAAATGGAAGCATGGACAGAAGACAAGTAAATAAATAATGTTATTCCCTTTTGACTAGTGTTGTTATGGTTAACTAAACTAAACTATTTTAATTGAAATAAATCTGAAATAAATTCTAAATGTTAGATGGGAAAACTTAAAAAAAAAAAAGAGAGACAACTGTTGCCTTGGCAACTGAATGAAATAAGTTACAAAAATTAATACAAAAATTAAAACTAAAACTGAAAAAAATTAAAATCTAAAAAATAAAAATAACCTAAATTACTAAAACCTAAAAATGAAAATTAAAACTAAAAATGATAATTATGAATATTAATAAATACCATAAAAGTAAAAATATTTAATTCACATGACCCATTTCAAGACTAAATGAATTTAAGGTTACATTTTGAAGTTTAACAGTAAATGCAAACCAATATTTACTCTCAAACTAGTTATAGGTGCTGTATGCAAGTTTTTGACTCTACTAAAGCATAACAATACCATAATATGTTTGCAGATATTTAAGAAACATGCTAAGTTAACATACTTGTTTATCTGAAAAACAATGCTAGTCATTCTCCTTTGAAAATGTGCGTTCCAGGCCGGAATGTCAGGTCTCTGTTTTGGTTTGTGAAACCCGCACACTGCCAGTTTACCCAATTGTATTTCTCGACCCCGGGTTGCCAGTTGGCGGGAAACACAGCGTATTTAATTTAATTCATCGTCAAGTGCGCTCGTTCCTGTTGTTGTCGGAGGAGGGGCCGGGTGAAAAAAAAAAACTCTCCAATATTTTGAATTTGGACTGCAATACCTAGTTCAACCACTCGGTGTCAATCCTACATACAGCACCTTTAACCACTACTGAGATCACTCAGCATCATTTAGGCTAAATTCTCAACTCTTGTTACCACATAAACTAACTATGAAAAATACTTCTAAAAGAATTTATTAATCTTAGTTAATGTTGATTTATATTATTAATATTAAAAATTGTATCGGTTAATGTTATTTAATGGACCTGAGCTAGTATAGTCGAACAATGAACATCTGTATTTTTATTAACTAACATTAACAAACAATAAATGCTGTAACAATGTATTGCTCATTGTTGGTTAATGCATTAAATTTAGTTAACAAATGGACCTAATATTACCTTGTTGTAAAATGTTACCTATTCACACACACACACAATCCAGAGTGTCCTAAGTTTTGATAACATGGTTATAAAAATGGCAAATAAAACAGTTTTCATATAATATTTAATAGCAAATAAACACTAATTTGTCAAGCCCTATTTTGTAATCTTTTCATTCATATGACAGCTGACAAAACACAAAGGATTGTAACAGTTCATTCTTCTAAAATTTATTCATACATATATATTTTTACTTTGACTGCCATCATGTGACTCGTATCACATCGTCTCCTGACCTGTAAGCATAAATAGATGCCGTTCTCTTACCTCTGTTAAATTAACTGACAACAGTAGTGGGTCATTTTCAGCACCACTGTATATAGTACATTCTCTATATTGCATCACATATAAAAATATACAGATTTTCTTTTGCAAAACATTCTTTCCATGTTGTTCAATGGCATGAGATCAAGGATCCATATACTGTCAGCATCATCTCTCCTCCCATCCTATCCTTCCGACCACATTTCCATTCACAGCATTTCAAAGATCAGTAGCAGCCACACTGAATAAAAGTCACGCCACACGCCATTCTCTCACCACAACAGCTCTTTCACAACAAACTCCCGTGACTCCCTCAGAAAGTGGAGGAGAGAACAAAGCATACACAGAAAAGATGATGGGTGGGGGTAAACGGGACGAAAGATGGTGGAAGAGGTGATGAAAAGAACAAGGTGTACTGTAACAGTGTACTCCAACCGGTTCATCTCCCAGGATATCTGGAAGGACATATAATTTTAAAAAAATCATGAAGAAAATCCAAAACAAAAATCAAGTGAAACCAAGTTTTTAATATTGAGGCGTTCTTGATCGAGAGGAAGGCGCATTGGGATGAGAGTTTGGTTGCAGTGCATAGAGAGACGTCTGAGTCGGAGCCACTTGGGTTATTGCCTGATGACGTGCTGCCCTGACACACACACACACACACTCGTACACACAGAGGCGGGAGGACCTCTTGAACACAGTGGTGGAGCGTGAGAGGGCATTGTATGCGCTTCTACTGGTGGCCAGCAGAGAGCGATGTTCATTCTCCATGACGGCCCAAAGGAAGCAGCATAGTGTGTAATGTGTCTTCAGCCCAAAGGCTTCGAGTCCACAGTACATCTTCAGAGTCCCGCCCGCTCGTAGAACAACACGTAGGCGTCACTGCTGCGAACTTGGCTGGCGGACATTGGCGTGACTCTGGAAGAAGAAATCCACACTTAATATTTGTTAACCATCAAATTTGTATTGAAAATCTGGGAATAAAAATCTAACTGAAAATATAGTTTTAACATCTCAAAAAAATGTAACATGATGGGAAACGAATAAAAAAAATTAAAGAATCTGCATTTCTAAGTGCAGATGGTCAGGTGTAGAAAACACGGACGGAATTGCGGAATCCAGTCATAAAAATTGAATCTACTGTATAACGCGGAATGTCATGGAATTTGTCAAAGTCTGGGTGAATTAATCAAAAGTAGGTCATTAGTGAAGTGAAGTGACATGTGGCCAAGTATGGCGACCCATACTCGGAACCCCACCTCACACCCCTGCCGGTACGAGACTCGAACCCACAACCTTTGGGTTACGAGTCCGACTCTCTAACCATTAGGCCACGACTTCCCCATTACATTACACTTAAATCAAATCGCAATACGGACTAGTATCTGTAAATATTAAGCAACAAAAAGAACATTTAAATATGAATCGTGCATGTTCTGTGTGAATAAATGGTGCAGACGAGCGTTTCGTTTACTACACACATACTGAAGCGCGATGCTCGCAGTGATTATCAGCGTCTGCCGTCTCACTTAATGAGTAGGCCTACATGAACATAAACAATCTCTAGAACGGCTCTGAGTCACTTCATGAGCATTTGACCTTTCATTTGAGAGAAACTATCGTCATATCATATGTACACAGAAATTTAAAGGTATTCACGGCAACCCGACGTCAAAACATTTGGTTTAACTTGAAGACATTATTGTGCCTGAAATATATTATTGTTGTTCAGTAGAATGTACGTAATACTACTACTAAAATTATTAAAAGTAAATTTTATTAAGGAATATTTACACAATATTTCTTTCATGTTTTAATGTTAATAGTAAATCACCTTCGTTTGCCAAAAATACAATTTATTTACTTTTCATTTGGTTAAAAGATTAATTAAATTAATGTTTTATGCCCTCAATTGATAAGCAGAAAAATGTAAATACAAAACAGAATTTCTGAGGGGAATTTTTTTTATATATAGGCTATTGTAAAAATACATTTTAATAAATTAAGTTTTTATGCATTCAAATAATTAGACATGCTTAAACACAATTTGGTATCAAAACAGAAGGTGAGAAAAAAATAAAACAGTTTATAGGGCCCTAAACATGTTTTAAATTTTTTGGCGCTTTTTTTGACGTCACGTTTTGGTAACGGTACGGTTCGCTGGTGGTACTGAAAAAAGTACCAGGTACTGTACCTAGTGGAAAACCCCGCCCAAAAGTGAACCGTGCCGTGCCGTACCATGCAATACAATTCAACTTCAACTTTAATTGTGAAGCTTTTAATATAATTTGTAATAAATTAAAATATTATATAGCATTAACATGGCCAAATATCATCCAATTATTCAGCCAAAATAGTATTAGTAGAATGTGTGTGAGATTAACAGTTAAAGATGTGGGATTGGAAGCATTTTTAAGGAAGCGTGAGTGGGAGGGAGGTGAAGGAGCAGGAGTGAGGGAGGAGGTGGAGGAGGATGGGATACAGGAAAATCACAGCAGCTAGCAGGTGAAATGGAGCTGAAAGCTTTCCCTGAAAGCTAATGTATGCTATATACCTTTGGGAAATCTACTGGTAGTCTACAGTCATGCAAAAGGAAAGAAAGAGCAGGAGGGGAAGTAAAGCAAGTACCTGGAGTCGTTATATGTGTACCATTCCCCGTTTTTAGGATTGCAACAGTACGCTGTGTAGTGGCCTCCCATAGTCGTGCCTGAGTGATTGGACACTGCATACAAGGTATATACTGCACTACCTGAAACGGAAAGATACACAGATAGTCAGGCTGGAAATAAATGCAAGATACAGTAGTTTATTGTGTAACCAAATACCAATAATATCCAGAAAACAAATGCGTTACTTTAAATTATAACAAGGCCCAAAATACATCACCACCCATTACAATGTAAACACCATAAAGTAAACATTTTCATCATTCATTAACAGTAGATGACTAAGCAGTCACTCGACATAAATGCATGGTATTATTTGACTGTTAACTGCTCTGAAACTGTGAGCAAAACAACCACGTTTTGACTATTAATAATCACATGGAGC